ACAGTAAATAGAAAAATTCTCAGCAGATAACACGAAGTCCATTTCTTCTAAACCAGTAAGTGGTCAGTGCAATGTCCATCTGCTTACCAGATCAACATCAGAAAAATAAGCCCAGGCTTTGCAGTCAAACTCATCTTTAGTGGGGGCCATATGCTGCTGCACTGTCCAAAAGTAAATTCTGGTGTCATTAGGGTTGACAAACTTTCTTCTAGGTTCTGCTCCTTGCCTCTGATCTTCCTCATAAGAAATAAGGCTAGAATAGAAGGAGTAGGGACGAGAGGCCTGGTTTTTGAAAGTTACCTGCAGAGAAAAAGTAAATACAAAATTTAAAAAAGAATTTGAGTAACATGTTTTAGGATCATATAAAGTCCTTAGCTTAAGGTTTATATCCCTAACAGCAATACCTATTTGGGGTTTATCCAGAGGAAGTGGTACAGAGGATGGGTGTTGTCAGGACCCAAACCTCACACTCTATCTACAGAGGAAACTGAGGTATTTTTGAACTCTAAAATCTTTAAAGCATGAGCTCAAAGTTGCAGAAGAGAAAATTCCTAAATACTGAAAAGCTGTTCAAAAGTAAAAGGGAAAATATCACCCCAGGGGTTTTCAGAGACCATAAGCCCAAGAATCAACACGTGTGGTTCTTATGACAAATTCCAGGATGAATGCATATGATCTTTAAAAAAGACTTTAGATTTCAGGGTGCCTGGGTGGCTCAGTGGGTTAAGTCTCTGCCTTCAGCTCAGGTCATGATCCCAAGGTCCTGGGATCGAGCCCCGCATCGGGCTCTCTGCTCAGCAGGGAGCCTGCTTCCCTGCTCTCTCTCTCTGCCTGCCTCTCTGCCTACTTGTGATCTTTCTCTGTCAAATAAATAAATAAAATCTTAAAAAAAAAGACTTCAGATTTCAAAAAATTACACATGTTTCACAGGACATATATAAACTAAAATAAGAATCAAAACAGAAAAAGAATTGCTGACAATTCCATAATTTTAGATCCTTCTATATCCTTAAAGTAAATAATCAATTGGGCCAGTGGATGACGATTTTTGGAAAAGAATAAGCTACTTTCATTTTTGGCTCACACAATGCACCAAAATAACTTGTAGTCTACAGGAATTACTAATGGGTTAAAAGGTTAAGTGTTAAAAAATAAATAAATAAAATAAAAGGTTAAATGTTAAGCAATTAAACTGTAAAAAAAAAAGTTGAATGTATAAGTGCTTTTAAGAAAAAAGTCTTTGTATAGGAAAGGATTTTTATAAACATAAAAGCTGTGTGTCATAAAAGAAAGATTTATGGGTTACTATCAGTAATTCAAACCTGTTTTATTTCAAAAATCACTATAAATAAAATTAAAAGATGACAAACTTGGAAAAATATAGGGTAATAAAAATCGATAAGAAAAGTTCTCCCTCAAAAGGTCAAATGTGCAAAGGACATTAACAGATAATTCTTTAGAGAAAGTCTTAAAATGTTCATGTATATTGTACTTCTGGAATTTTACCCAAGGAAAAGGTTTGTGATTGCAACATTATTGAACTAGTGAAAACATTGCAAACTATTTAAAAGGTTGTTCAAAGTAAATGGTTAAGTAAACCATAAATTCACATAATAGACTATTATGCCATCATTAAAACAAAATAGTTAGAAAGTATTTCTAATGACACAAGAAATAATGACAATATGGGGCGCCTGGGTGGCTCAGTGGGTTAAGCTTCTGCCTTCGGCTCAGGTCATGATCTCAGGGTCCTGAGATCAAGCCCCGCATCAGGTTTTCTGCTCAGCGGGGAGCCGGCTTCCTCCTCTCTACCTGCCTCTCTGCCTACTTGAGATCTCTGTCTGTCAAATAAATAAATAAAATCTTAAAAAAGAAGAAATATTGACAATATGCTATTTAGTCCAAAAAGAAGAGCTGTGATCTCGGGGTTGTGGAATTCAGCCTCACATTGGGATTCTCTCTCCTCCCTCTGCCCCTCCCACTCTTGCTCTCTCTTTCTTTCTTCCTAATATAAATAAATAAATAAACCTTTTTTTTTTTTTTTAAAAAGAAGAGGTAAAATTACACGTTGCATAATTTTGAGCACATAAAGAAAAGAATACATAGGACAAAGAGAACATACACCAAAATGGTAGTTATGGGATTATTTTTTAACTTCTTAATTTTCTACACTTCAAAATTCTCAGAAAGTGAAAATACATTATTTTTATAAACAGAGACAAAAATATACATACAGGATTAATTTTCCTATAACTTCATTGTTCTAAACTCACCATGATATTGTCTTCAACTTCTGCTCTTATATATGGCCCCAAGAGTCCGAGGTGTTCATTTAGTTCTCCACGGTATAAGGGCTGAGTAAAAGACCCATCAGTAAATTCCTGGAAAACCACCTTCTTGAACTGAGGGACATCCCTACCTTGAGCCCTGGGGGAAAAAAGCAGAGAAAAAACAGTATCTTCATGGATCAGGTAGGTAGAAACACCTGACATTCTCGCCCTTCCTGTACTGGAGACACTTCCATAGAGCTGATGATGAGCTGGAGCGAAGAAAGGAGAAAAGAGTTAGTACAGACAACGTCCAGGTTTCTGATTTGGGCAAGTGGCTGGACAGTGATGCAGCTCACTGAGATGGGCAACCCTGGAGAAGTAGGTGGGGGTATAGAGTTTTAAACACACGGGACATCTATGTAAATTAAATTGGCAAATACAGAGGTTGAGAGCTTACAAAAGAGATCTAAATGAAGATCATGCAAGATGGAGACACTATCCAGACCATGTGAGTGGCTTATTACAGCTGATAATCAATTTTGTTATGTCCTCATCTTATTGGACAAGCAAGCAACATGTTGCATAGGTAACCACTCCATCTTCCTGACATACCCTCTCTCCAGGGTTCACTAGTGTAGAAGTTCCACGAAAGCAGGGGTTTTGTCTGTTTTGTCCACTGCTGTACTGCTGTATTCCCAGCAGCTGGAACAAGTGCCTGGCACATAGTAGGTGGTCAAAAAGTATTTGTTGAATGTTAAATGCATGTAGGACTTATAAACAAATTCTGAATATTAAACAGCCCCCAGGGTTCAATCCTTGGACTTCTTCCCTCTACTTAAAAAGAAATCTGGGGGTGCCTGAGTGGCTTAGTAAGTAGAGCCGGTGACTGTTGATCTCGGAGTTGTGAGTTTAAACCCTGCGTTGGGTGTAGAGATTACATAAACAAACAAAAAACAAACTTAAAAGAAGTTAAAAAATCTGTTAGGGGGCCCCTAGGTGGTTCAGTCATTCAGCATCTGTCTTGGGCTCCAGTCATGATGCTGGGGTCCTAGGATTGAGCCCCGCATTGGGCTCTTCACTCATAGGGAGGCCTGCTTCTCCCTCTCCCACTCCCCCTGCTTGTGCTCTCTCTTGCTATCTCTTTTTCTCTCTGTCAAATAAAATCTTTTAAAAAATCTGCTGGAACTGTGAACTAAAACTGTATAACAAAGTACATAAAACCAAAGTGCTTTTGGTATAAAAATGCAACCACTATCCAGATCAAGAACATTACCAGCAACACAGAAGACTCACGGTCTGTGCCTTTCCAGTGACATTCTTCTTAACCCTAACCCCTGTTGTGATATTTACGATAATTATTTCTTTGCTTTTCTTTATAATTTTACCACTATGTATATATACTTCCCTAAAGAACACAGTTGAGTTTTGTCCATTTTGGCAAACCATGTTGTATACGTTCTTTTGTTTCTGGAAAAAAAAAAAAAAAAAAAAAGGAGAGAGAGACTGTTAATCTCAGGAAACAAAGTGAGGGTTGCTGGAGTGGAGGGGGTTGGGACTGATGGGGTGGTTGGGGCATGGACATTGGGGAGGGCATGTGCTATGGTGAGTGCTGTGAACCGTGTAAGCCTGATGATTCACAGACCTGCACCCCTGAAACAAGTAATACATTTTATGTTAATAATAAATAAATAGATAAATAAGAAGAGTGACTACTACAGGTCTGGGATTTATCTGCTAGAGAGAGAGAGAGCGAGAGAGAGAGTGAGCGCACAAGCAGGGGAAGGGGCAGAGGGAGAGGGAGAAGCAGGCTCCCTGGATTCCAGTTTCTGGATTCCAGGACCCTGGGGTCATGACCTGAGCCAAAGGCAGATGCCTAAGCAACTGAGCTACCCGGGTGTCTCATCAGGCCTTGTTTTCAAATGGCACTTTGTTCCCTCTAAAACAGGGTTGACAAACCTTCTTTTGTAAACAGCCAGATAATAAATAATTTAGGCTCTGCCGATCATTTGGTTTCAGCTACTTAACTGTTGTGGTAGAGTGAAAGCAGCCACTTTAGGTCAGTGGGGCTGTATGTGTCAGTGCAAGATTCTAGGTACAGATGCTGAAATTCGAATCTCACATAATTTTCACATGTCATGAGACATTCTTCTTCTTTTTTCCCCCAATCATTTAAAACTAGAAAAATAATTCTTAGTTTGAAGGCTACATAAAATAAGTGGTGGTGCTGCAGTTGGGAGAGGGTGGCTGGGTTATGGACATTGGGGAGGGTATGTGCTATGGTGAGTGCTGTGAACTGTGTAAGCCTGATGATTCACAGACCTGTACCCCTGGGGCTAATAATACAGTATATGTTGATAAAAAAATAAAAAAAATAAATAATTGGTGGGCTGGATTTTGCCTTTAGGCCATAGTTTGCTTACTGTTGCTCTAAAACAGTATCTGGGAGCTGACTGCAGATCCTGCTCAAGCTTTCCTGTCGCTGCTCATAGCAGAGTGAAGACAATGGACTCAAGGGGAGCACCAGGGAATGCAGGTAGGACATGTAAGGAGGTGGTCATGAGAAGTGATAGTAGCTTGAACAGTGGCAATCAGAGAAGAGAAAATGGATTTAAGACGCACTTGTGGAGTAGATGTAATAGAAGGATGGAGATGGATGGGTTATCTAAATCCAACAGAAATAAAAAAGATACTATCAGCCCAGATCTTGGGAGACAAAATACTGGTATTTACCATATTGTCCTGAAGCTGTAATCTGAAAATCTCGGATGTGTCCAGAAGCCATCCCCAGCGGAGTCTGACACTCTGAAATCAAAGGAGAGGGCTGTGACAGCTAGCAGTACCTAAAATTCAGCCTTCACAAAGGCAAGCCAGTGAGAACGGGCGAATACCAAGCAATGGTTGATACTTTGTATTGTTAACCATGTCATTTAATTCACTCTAATAGAACCATCCACACTCTGACTTGTTTATGGTTGAATCTTGAACTCTTCCAAGCCATATTTGTAAGTTATCTTTGGCAACTGAACCAAAATTCAGTTTCAAATTTTGCTCTTGGAGATGCTGGAGCTTCACAAAGTTGTGAGAACGAAGTTATTTTTAGCACCAGTTTGTTAAATACTTAGAGCTTCAGGTTCGCACATATTTGCTCTTCCCTGAGGACTCTGATGATTTCTACCAGCAATATTCATTATAGATTTGTTAATGACTGTGAGCTTGTATTTGTTTCTTGATAAAAGCAACCATCCTAGGAAGGAGGAAAGCTACTTACTCTTGCTGTACACCAGAAAAAGAGTGCTCATCCCCGCTTGTAGGTGCTCGCCAATAAGGCATTCTATCCGCCAAATTCCAACTTTGGATGGTAGCATTTCCACAGTCTCAAAAACACCTTTTCAAAAACAGAAGGAACAGAAATTATTTCTTTTTACTAAAAAATGAGCACGAGATACATTGGTTTATGCAGAACACCCAAGGAGAGCCACCTAAGTCAGTTCTACCACTCTTGACCCCCTCAAAGCCAAAGTGCTTTGCTATGTGACCCCGCCAATTTGGAGGTACTGAAGATTGAGTTCTGATAGCCCCCACCCCTGGGAAATGGGAGAGATGGGCTGGTGGGGGAACAGGGGAGAGCCACTACACTCTCAGAGTGCCAAAGGTTATTGTGGTTTTTTGTCCCCCCCATCAACCAGATGTGAGCTCCCTGGGCCAGGGAAGTGAGGGTGAGGTCCTTGTGGACCTAGGCCACTAGGGCTGCCTTGAGGGCTAACGCAACCCAGCAGTAAGAAGTTAGAGGGGGTACCGAGGGGCTGAGGCATGAGTCACAAGTGACTCCCTAGAATAAAGGTGTCCGTTGTAAGTAGGTAAGAATTGTCCTAGCATTTAACCTTTACCATTTCCATGCTGGAGTTCAAAGCAGCAGCCATGAAGGGGTTGGGGAGGACACACAATAAACGTAAGGCAGAGGAAGAGAGGGCTCAACCACACCATCCTTGCCTGAGATAGGCCTCTCAGAGTGCACCCTGCAGTTCGGGGTCGGAGGCGTATGTGTGACGTGAAGCAGCCGCAGGAGAGCTTATTACTGAAGAGTGAGCAGGAAAGTCACTGAACTTCTTGGAATTTTAACACAGAAACAGGGAAAGTTTGCTCCCACTATTAAACCTGTTTTAAAGGGGCGGTGGAGACCTAGACTAAAGCTGTGTTTTGATCAACACTGTGAGTCGTGCTTATACTGGTTATGGACATAAACAATTCACCCCATGGAGAACTACCTGTGCATTTGAGACGGTGGAAACCATAACTCCAGCCCAGGAAAGTGCCACAACATTAATTATTCATTTATTCTGTTCTATTTCCTTTATCTGTATCTGAAATTATCCTGTTTATGGGCTAATTTATTTATTTATTTTTAAAGATTTTATTTATTTATTTGACAGAGAGAGAGATCACAAGTAGACGGGGAGGGGGGAAGCAGGCTCCCTGCTGAGCAGAGAGCCTGATGCGGGGCTCGATCCCAAGACCCTGAGATCATGACCTGAGCCAAAGGCAGAGGTTTAACCCATTGAGCCACCAAGGCACCCCTCTGGGCTAATTTATTTATTATGTTACTTGAAAAAGTAAGTTACCTGAGATCAGGGAGTTTCTTGGCTTTGTTCATGGATTGCTTCCCCAGTGCCTGTACCATGCAAAGTAAGTACTCAGTACGTCAGCAGGTAGACAAAAAGGGCAGAAATTAGCTCATACCTGGGTAGAGGTTGTAGACTGCCATTTTATACTCCTCTTTTTTCCGTACAGTGAACACGTGTCCACTGAAATGAATAGAATGGATGTTTTCACTGCTGCCCATGCTGAGCAGATACCATCGAATCTTTTGGTCCTGAGCCATTACTAAGCCAGGCAGTGTGTCCATCACATAGCCATTGACTGCTGGAGGAGAACACAGAGAAGGCTGTTGAAATCCATTACAGAAGTTTCTTTCCCTCTCCTCCAGTAAAAAATATTGATTCCTACAAGGATTCCACTCCTATACACACACTCTCAATTCACTGTCCAAGCCTCAGCCTGAGTAATAACTGGGGGTGGGGTATGTTACCATGGAAACGGTAATTTTCTTTAAGAGTGGGATCCTCCTTCTGGATATTGCAGGGAGCTCTGCAGTTCCTTTCCAGGTTTTCAGTGAAGTACCAGCTCTTAGTCTCATCAAAAATAGTGAAAAACAGAGCGAATTCCTGCACTGTCACTTGTCGCCCATGAGCAGGGTTCAGTGTATCGCTGCGGCAGATCAGAAGGGGTCCAATCAAGCCTGAGTGCACATCCTTCTCCTGAGAAAGAAGACATCAATCCTATGAACATGAATGCCCTCGCCTATGAACCAGGATAGATCTCTTATCAACTTCCATGCCACTCCAAACCAATCCTGATCTGGTAGGTTCCAGAGTGATCATTCTCAAACACAAATATGATGGCACCTCCCCTATCGGAATCTTCCCATTAAGCTTACAGTAAATAGAAAAATTCTCAGCAGATAACACGAAGTCCATTTCTTCTAAACCAGTAAGTGGTCAGTGCAATGTCCATCTGCTTACCAGATCAACATCAGAAAAATAAGCCCAGGCTTTGCAGTCAAACTCATCTTTAGTGGGGGCCATATGCTGCTGCACTGTCCAAAAGTAAATTCTGGTGTCATTAGGGTTGACAAACTTTCTTCTAGGTTCTGCTCCTTGCCTCTGATCTTCCTCATAAGAAATAAGGCTAGAATAGAAGGAGTAGGGACGAGAGGCCTGGTTTTTGAAAGTTACCTGCAGAGAAAAAGTAAATACAAAATTTAAAAAAGAATTTGAGTAACATGTTTTAGGATCATATAAAGTCCTTAGCTTAAGGTTTATATCCCTAACAGCAATACCTATTTGGGGTTTATCCAGAGGAAGTGGTACAGAGGATGGGTGTTGTCAGGACCCAAACCTCACACTCTATCTACAGAGGAAACTGAGGTATTTTTGAACTCTAAAATCTTTAAAGCATGAGCTCAAAGTTGCAGAAGAGAAAATTCCTAAATACTGAAAAGCTGTTCAAAAGTAAAAGGGAAAATATCACCCCAGGGGTTTTCAGAGACCATAAGCCCAAGAATCAACACGTGTGGTTCTTATGACAAATTCCAGGATGAATGCATATGATCTTTAAAAAAGACTTTAGATTTCAGGGTGCCTGGGTGGCTCAGTGGGTTAAGTCTCTGCCTTCAGCTCAGGTCATGATCCCAAGGTCCTGGGATCGAGCCCCGCATCGGGCTCTCTGCTCAGCAGGGAGCCTGCTTCCCTGCTCTCTCTCTCTGCCTGCCTCTCTGCCTACTTGTGATCTTTCTCTGTCAAATAAATAAATAAAATCTTAAAAAAAAAGACTTCAGATTTCAAAAAATTACACATGTTTCACAGGACATATATAAACTAAAATAAGAATCAAAACAGAAAAAGAATTGCTGACAATTCCATAATTTTAGATCCTTCTATATCCTTAAAGTAAATAATCAATTGGGCCAGTGGATGACGATTTTTGGAAAAGAATAAGCTACTTTCATTTTTGGCTCACACAATGCACCAAAATAACTTGTAGTCTACAGGAATTACTAATGGGTTAAAAGGTTAAGTGTTAAAAAATAAATAAATAAAATAAAAGGTTAAATGTTAAGCAATTAAACTGTAAAAAAAAAAGTTGAATGTATAAGTGCTTTTAAGAAAAAAGTCTTTGTATAGGAAAGGATTTTTATAAACATAAAAGCTGTGTGTCATAAAAGAAAGATTTATGGGTTACTATCAGTAATTCAAACCTGTTTTATTTCAAAAATCACTATAAATAAAATTAAAAGATGACAAACTTGGAAAAATATAGGGTAATAAAAATCGATAAGAAAAGTTCTCCCTCAAAAGGTCAAATGTGCAAAGGACATTAACAGATAATTCTTTAGAGAAAGTCTTAAAATGTTCATGTATATTGTACTTCTGGAATTTTACCCAAGGAAAAGGTTTGTGATTGCAACATTATTGAACTAGTGAAAACATTGCAAACTATTTAAAAGGTTGTTCAAAGTAAATGGTTAAGTAAACCATAAATTCACATAATAGACTATTATGCCATCATTAAAACAAAATAGTTAGAAAGTATTTCTAATGACACAAGAAATAATGACAATATGGGGCGCCTGGGTGGCTCAGTGGGTTAAGCTTCTGCCTTCGGCTCAGGTCATGATCTCAGGGTCCTGAGATCAAGCCCCGCATCAGGTTTTCTGCTCAGCGGGGAGCCGGCTTCCTCCTCTCTACCTGCCTCTCTGCCTACTTGAGATCTCTGTCTGTCAAATAAATAAATAAAATCTTAAAAAAGAAGAAATATTGACAATATGCTATTTAGTCCAAAAAGAAGAGCTGTGATCTCGGGGTTGTGGAATTCAGCCTCACATTGGGATTCTCTCTCCTCCCTCTGCCCCTCCCACTCTTGCTCTCTCTTTCTTTCTTCCTAATATAAATAAATAAATAAACCTTTTTTTTTTTTTTTAAAAAGAAGAGGTAAAATTACACGTTGCATAATTTTGAGCACATAAAGAAAAGAATACATAGGACAAAGAGAACATACACCAAAATGGTAGTTATGGGATTATTTTTTAACTTCTTAATTTTCTACACTTCAAAATTCTCAGAAAGTGAAAATACATTATTTTTATAAACAGAGACAAAAATATACATACAGGATTAATTTTCCTATAACTTCATTGTTCTAAACTCACCATGATATTGTCTTCAACTTCTGCTCTTATATATGGCCCCAAGAGTCCGAGGTGTTCATTTAGTTCTCCACGGTATAAGGGCTGAGTAAAAGACCCATCAGTAAATTCCTGGAAAACCACCTTCTTGAACTGAGGGACATCCCTACCTTGAGCCCTGGGGGAAAAAAGCAGAGAAAAAACAGTATCTTCATGGATCAGGTAGGTAGAAACACCTGACATTCTCGCCCTTCCTGTACTGGAGACACTTCCATAGAGCTGATGATGAGCTGGAGCGAAGAAAGGAGAAAAGAGTTAGTACAGACAACGTCCAGGTTTCTGATTTGGGCAAGTGGCTGGACAGTGATGCAGCTCACTGAGATGGGCAACCCTGGAGAAGTAGGTGGGGGTATAGAGTTTTAAACACACGGGACATCTATGTAAATTAAATTGGCAAATACAGAGGTTGAGAGCTTACAAAAGAGATCTAAATGAAGATCATGCAAGATGGAGACACTATCCAGACCATGTGAGTGGCTTATTACAGCTGATAATCAATTTTGTTATGTCCTCATCTTATTGGACAAGCAAGCAACATGTTGCATAGGTAACCACTCCATCTTCCTGACATACCCTCTCTCCAGGGTTCACTAGTGTAGAAGTTCCACGAAAGCAGGGGTTTTGTCTGTTTTGTCCACTGCTGTACTGCTGTATTCCCAGCAGCTGGAACAAGTGCCTGGCACATAGTAGGTGGTCAAAAAGTATTTGTTGAATGTTAAATGCATGTAGGACTTATAAACAAATTCTGAATATTAAACAGCCCCCAGGGTTCAATCCTTGGACTTCTTCCCTCTACTTAAAAAGAAATCTGGGGGTGCCTGAGTGGCTTAGTAAGTAGAGCCGGTGACTGTTGATCTCGGAGTTGTGAGTTTAAACCCTGCGTTGGGTGTAGAGATTACATAAACAAACAAAAAACAAACTTAAAAGAAGTTAAAAAATCTGTTAGGGGGCCCCTAGGTGGTTCAGTCATTCAGCATCTGTCTTGGGCTCCAGTCATGATGCTGGGGTCCTAGGATTGAGCCCCGCATTGGGCTCTTCACTCATAGGGAGGCCTGCTTCTCCCTCTCCCACTCCCCCTGCTTGTGCTCTCTCTTGCTATCTCTTTTTCTCTCTGTCAAATAAAATCTTTTAAAAAATCTGCTGGAACTGTGAACTAAAACTGTATAACAAAGTACATAAAACCAAAGTGCTTTTGGTATAAAAATGCAACCACTATCCAGATCAAGAACATTACCAGCAACACAGAAGACTCACGGTCTGTGCCTTTCCAGTGACATTCTTCTTAACCCTAACCCCTGTTGTGATATTTACGATAATTATTTCTTTGCTTTTCTTTATAATTTTACCACTATGTATATATACTTCCCTAAAGAACACAGTTGAGTTTTGTCCATTTTGGCAAACCATGTTGTATACGTTCTTTTGTTTCTGGTTGTGTGCTATAGTTTGTATTCTGTTGTGCAAATATACCAAAATTATGAACATTCATTTCTAATTTGTGTGCTATAGTTTGTATTCTGTTGTGCAAATATACCAAAATTATGAACATTCATTTCTAATTTTTGGTGCTTACACGTAGTCCTGCTCCTGCTATGAATCTTTTCTCCCCCAGCTGTGAACCTTCTTATACACATCTTCTGGTGAATGCATGCATGCATTTCTGCGGGGCACATATCTAAGAGTTGAGCTGCTGAGCGTACGTATGTTCCGCAGGGTTCCCACCAAGCAGGGAGTCCGATGAGGGTCTCGATCCCAGCACCCTGGGATCATGACCTAAGCCCAAGGCAGACATCCAACCAACTGAGCCACTCAGGTGCCCCAGCAGTCTTTTACTATTAAACTTAAATAGCCAATGGAGATTGTTCTGAGATAGTTTTTCCACCACTGATTAAGACTGAGGTGGCCGTTATTAGGGATTACATTCATTTAACTTTCTGAGCAGACTTGGTGACCCTATTAGCCACAGAAGTCTTTGAGACACCCATAGCAACGGTCTGTCTCATGTTGTGAAGAGTGAAACGGCCCAGAGGAGGATATCCAAAGAAACACCCAGTACATATGGACTTGACAGGAACTGGAATTCGGGGTCATCTTCCAACTTCTTCCCAGGACACTGATCAATCTTCTTCAGCTCAGCAAACGTGCATTGTGAGGTGTGTAACAATCCAGCATGCATGCATAGCCAGCAATGATTAGGCTCAGACGGTTCAGGGTAATCACCAGCTACTTTCACTGGCGGGTCATTTTTGCTGTCACCATTTTTGCTGTCACTGCTACAACAAACATCTTTAACAGATACATTTTTTTTTAAAACATTTTTAAACCTTCTTTTTTTAAGATTTTAATTATGTATTTGACAGACAGACAGAGATCACAAGCAGGCAGGGAGGCAGGCAGAGAGAGAGAAAGGGAAGCAGGCTCCCTGCTGAGAAGAGAGCCTGAGGCGGGGCTCGATCCCAGGACCCTGGGACCATGACCCGAGCTGAAGGCAGAGGCTTTAACCCACTGAGCCACCCAGGCGCCCTAACAGATACATTCTCTATTTTAAGATTTTATTTTTAAGTAATATCTATACTCAACGTGGGGCTTGAATCCACAACCTCAAGATCCAGAGTCACCTGTTCCACTGACTGAGCCAGCCAGGCACCTCTGACAGATACATTCTTGATATCAAAGCCCACACTGTTCCTAGGAAAAGCTTAACTCAAAGCTTCATGGTGCATTTCAACAGACTTCAGTTGTAACACGGACCGGACTGGAGCAAAGCTTTGAGGACACACGTCCATTCGGCTCACAGGGAGAGTACCAGTACCACCAAGTTTGTGCATGTACTCGTGGGGCAGACAAAAGGCCTTGTCAGTTGGATGGTCTGCTGACAGGAGGCAATCTAGAGTTTCAAGCAGTATGGTTCCACTGACATAGCCGTCTATTTATTATATTATTTAATTACCATCTAATGTATTATTTTTTCAGGGGAACAGGTCTGGGATTCACCAGTCTTATAAAGCTATCTTTGTGGGTGATGTCTCATTTCTTGTTAGCACTTGGCTCCAGCATTTTGTCATCACTCCAGCCAGAAACTGGCACAAATGCTACTTACTGTGCTGGGGTTGTAGCCAAATTTCTTAATATAGGTGCTGGCTTCCTTAACATATTCCTTGTGTCTCTTCTGGCAGCAGGTGGCTCAGTGGAATCCATTATGTAAACAATTAGTTGTTTCACACCCAGTATGTAAGCCAGAAGGGCATGCTCATGGGTCTGCCCAGCCTGAGATGTGCCTGTTCTCATGTTATTGATGAACGCTCTGTGTTTTGGGACATCAATGATACTCACGTAATACTTGCTGGTCTCCAGTTTCCAAGGGGAGATACCAAAAACCACCACACTTGCTTTTGGCCGTTTGTCTGACACCCTGGCATACTTGAAGGAACTCTTTGCCATCTCAGCAGCCTCCTTTTCAATGGTTCTTAGGTTGATCCCACCACATTTATAGATCAGATGGCCAGGAGTAGAGGATTGGCCCAAATTTATGTGCCCAATGATGACAGTGTTGATATTTCCAATTAAGGGGCGGTTTTCCTTTCTAAAATAGGGGTGGTTTTCATGACACCTGTGTTTTGGTGGCAAACCCATTGTGAAAAAACCAATTATATCTTAGAACTCATAAAACGTTTTGCCAGTTTATACAAAGAATATTTATATTTATATTTACCCATATATTTACCCTTTACTTTTTTAGTCCTTCTTGCCTTTCACCTCTTTCATTCAGTATCATTTTCCTACTGTCTCAAGTACATCATTAGAATAGTTTTGGTGGGTTTTTGCTAGGGTGAAGTTTCTGTTTCTGTTTGTTGGAAAATGTTCTATTTTGCCTTGATTTTTGATTCATATTTTTGATGGGCAGTTATTGCATTTCAGTGTCTTCTAGATATCATTCCCGTTTTCTATGTTTAATTAGCACTACTGAAAAATCACCTTTCTGTATCTTGTTTAAGTGTATGCTGTCTCTTTTCTTTGCCTGCTTTTAAGACTTTTGGGTTTTCTGAAGTTTCACTCTGATGAAACATGCCTAGGTGTTGATTTTTTTAGTTCATCCTGTTTGGGATTTGTTGCACTTCCTCAATCTGTGCATTGATGACTTTTTAAAATTTTTAATATTCAGTTTCTTCTTTAATCACTTCCCTTTCCTTCTGATATTTCAATTAAAAAGAAGTAAATCCTTCACACTCTATCCTTTAAGTCTCCTCTGGTTATCTGTTGCTGTATCACAAACTACCTTAAAACGTTAGTGTCTTAAAACAACAACCATTTTATGATACTTGTCAATTCTGCTACGTCAGAATTCCAGCAGTGCTTGGCTGGGTCAGCTGGCATCCAGGCTGGTCTGGAGGGTCCAAAATGGCTTCACTCATGTGCCTGATGCCGTGGTGGAGAATAATGGAAACCTGAACTTGCTGAGACTCATGACCAGAAGGCCTACATGTGACATTTCCAGCATGACAGCACCAGGGTAATCAGATTTCTTACAAAGGACATCCCAGGAGAACTAGATGTAAGCTATGTGGTATTTTCTGAACCAGCATCACTTCCACCACATCTATAGGTCACAAATTTCTGTCATACTCTTTTGGTCACAAATGAGTCCTAATGCCAGTCCAGACCAAGAGGAGGGGGATTACATTTTACCTCCTGAATGGGAGAATGTCAAGGTTATATTGTATAAGAGCATATAGGACAGAACATATTGGCACACACACTTGTGGAAAATACAGTTGGCCATAGCCTTTTATTATCTCTTTTATATTTTCCATTAAAAAAAATCTCTGCATGCTGCATTCCATACTACTTCATTTTACTTACCTACTAGTTCACCAATTCTTTCTACATGATGTATAAGTGTTTTAATAACTGTATATGATTCCTAGATCTTAAGTCTCTGAGTTGTTTTGGTTCTCTATTGTTTCTGTGGCTGGCTTGCTTCTTTCTTTCTTTCTTTCTTTCTTTCTTTCTTTCTTTCTTTCTTTCATTTTGTTCTGTACCCTGTATCTTTGTGTTCTGGATGTTGTATCTGAAAGATCTGTGAAAATAAGTTGAGGCCTAGGATGTTGAGAAGTTTAATGTTTTCTTCTGCCAGGTGTCTGCAGGCACTGCCAACCCAAGAGTTGCATAAATTATGATTAAGAAAAGAAATTTGTGGAGCACCTGGGTGGCTCAATCGTTAAGCGTCTGCCTTCAGATCAGATCACGATCTCAAGGTCCTGGGATCGAGCCCCGCATCGGGCTCCCTGCTCAGTGAGAAGCTTGCTTCTGCCTCTCCCACTCCCACTGCTTGTGTTCCCTCTCTCGCTGTATCTCTATCAGATAAATAAATAAAATCTAAAAAAATAAAAAGAACAGAAATTTGCACATCAGTGAAGTAGGTTAACTGGTTTACTGTTACCTTGAGGACATAGACCTTTGGGGACTCATCTTAAAGTGGGCATGGTTTACATCTACTTTTTCTCTCTTGTTAATACCAACGAGTCTATTCAAATGCTGTCAATATGCTTGTAACTCCCAAGTTTATTCATCTTTAGCACAGACCTCTTCCTTGGACTCTAGACTCATATCCAGCTGCCTATTCAACTTCTCAGCTGGAGGTCTAGTGGGCATCTCACACTAAGTATGTTCCAAACAGACCTTTGAGTGTTTCTTCAAGTGAATCTGTTCTACCTCAAGCCTTCCACATCTGATTAAACGTCATCATCATCCACCTAGTTGCTTAGGAAAAAAAAACTAAAAATCTTCTTTGAGTCCTTTCTCCCCATTCCCCCATATTCAACCTAACAGCAAATCCTATCTGCTTATCCTCAAATTATGTTCAACATCTTTCCATTTCTTTTGATTTTTACCACCACTATTTTGATCCAAATAATCTGTCTTCTCTTACTGGATGATTACAATCGCCTCTTAACTGGTCTCCCTGCCTCTATTCTTGCCCATGGAACTTGTGTTACCATTTAGTTGGTACTCTCTGGAGCTCAGACATACATAAAAGACCTGCTCTTGCTTCCCTACAACAGTAGGATATCAGAGGATGAGACACAAAGTGCACAGGCCTACAGAGAGGTATACATTTGTTGCATCTGAGGAAGAGCAATGAAGCCAGTGTGGCTGGAACATGGTGAGCAGGAAACAATGGTATGAGATGAGGTCAGAGGTTTCAGAGGGTCAAATCTTTGAAACTTGAAGGCCATAGTGAGGTCTTTGGAATTTACTAAGGGGGAGATGGAAATCCACTGGGAGGTTTGGAGCAGAGAATGAGAATCAGAATTACAATTTGAAAATGTGCTTTAGCTGCTATGCTGGAGACTGCAAGTCTAGTTCAGAGGCTATTACAACAATTTGCATGAGAGCTGAGGATGGTTTAGACTGGATTGGTAGCCACTGAAATGGGGAGAAGTAGCTGGACTCTTTTCCACATATTCTTTCTTTAAACCACTCTAAAAAGTCTTTTATTTCCATTATTCCATAAAAACTACACATTCAAGGTCACTGTTGATCTTTACATTACTAATTCTCAGTATTTGATAGTTGATGACTCCATCCTTGATGTGTGAGCTCGGCTGGTCTCTCTGACACCAATTTTCCTTCATTTTTCTACTAACCTCACTGCCAATCTTTCTCTGTCAGCTTCACTGGTTCTTCATGTCCCTGACCTTTAAATGTTAGAGTGCTCTCGGTATCAGTTCTTTAAACTCTCCTATTTTTTGTTTACACTCATTCTCATGATGGTCTATTCCTATGCAGATAAAATCCAGTTGTATATCTCCATCTCAGATACCTTCCTTGAACTTGAGATTCACATATAAACTCCCTACCTTACCGGGTACAAAATTAGTCTCTTAATTTCTGTCCCTTCCAAAAACCTGCTGTTTGTCCAGCCTTTTCCATGGCAGTCAATGACCATTCCTTCTTTTTAGTTCCTCAGACTCCAAACACTGAAGTTATTCCTAATTCATCTTTTTCTCTCACAGCCACACCTCTCTATCAAAGAATCCAATTGGTTTCATTAAAAAAAACAAACAAACCAGAATTTGACTATGAACTGAGTATTGGGTAAGATGAAAATGAACTGTAACGGAAAGTTGGAGATGGTTGACTAGGAAACTGGAGAGGTTGGCCTTCGGTGCATAGTGCATTTATTGTCATAAGCATGAAGACAGGATATGGTTACAGATGTCAATAAATGTGTTGGAAGTCTGGAGGTTCACTGCACAAGCATTAGCTATGAATGAGAAGGGCTGTTGGAGAATGGGTAAAAGGGGCTGGAGATTTAAGGAAAAAGTAGAAAATGCAAGACAATGGTCCAGGACAGTGGGAAAGTCAGTAGACTAGGGCAGTACTCTAGAGTTGCTATGCAGCAATAAGGGCCCATTTGAGGTAGAAAGTGTCCTTTTTTGTTCCTCAGATTTGTTCCATTCACAGGGCCTTTGTATTTCCTATTCTCTCTGCCTGGAAACATCTCTCAGAGCTCCATCAGCTCTCCTCTTATCATCATTTAGGTCCCAGCATCCTCAACCTCTTCATCACACACTTCACTTCTTCCTCCTGCCTCTCTCAGAACCTTTTCACAAGACTAAGACTATTCCTCCAGCTCATAAGGTTGACTTTCTACCTGATCCCCATGATGCTTCTTGACCTTGATTCCTATACCCTTTTGTAAGCCTCTTTTCTCCTCCATCTCACTAGAGTAAGAGTTTCATGCCTTCTGGATGTGTTATCCTCTAACTCTCATTGTGGGTATCATCATCTAACCATCTCTTTACTCCTTGGCTTCCTCTAGACTTTGCTACCTGGATCTCAGGATTCTCCCTTCCTTTATAAGCAATCTTTGGAGTCTCATTCTGCAGATACTCTGTGCCTTTTTCATTATTTCAGCACCTGGGAAAGTCAAATGTTGCAATAGCAGGCTAGAGGAATAATCAATGCACCCATACCTGTTTCTTAGGACTCGGGGAGATCTACTCACCCATAATCCCAGAGACGCTCCACTGCAGCAATGAAATAGTGTCGTGTTCTCTTCTGAAAGCTGCGGAGGCCCTGATTTTCATCTTCGCCATAGATGTCAAAATCTTCTCTCTTCATTTCAATCGAGAAGTTGTCATCATACTCAAATTTGTCTTCCTCTGGCTGAGGAGTACTAACGGGTATTTCCCTTTGACGGCGTTTTGAGACTGGTGGGTTTTGAGAGCACAACCTTCCAGTACCTCCTTGCTGTGCCCAGGTGGCTTCTCTTTGGGGCTTATCTTCTTCTTCATTTATTCCTGCTTTTGAATGATTATTTTCACAAGGGCCCAGGGACAAAATGGTGTCCTTTCTCCTAAAAGCTGTGTTTTTCTGTGACTTCTTTTGGGATTTCCACTCTTCTCTTATCTGGGTAGCAGAGTGGTCCTCCCAAGCAAGGGGACCCAGCAGCTGGGAGGGAATCTTCTCAGAGCTTTCTGTTGATTTCAGAAAGGGCGCTTTTCCAGGTCTGTTTGTTTTATTCAGTTTAACAGGTCTCTGAGTTTTCTGAAGAAAGATCTTTTCCATGAGATCCAGGTGGCCAGGAGAATCATTGCTGGTTTTTGTAGCCAAAGAGTCTTGATGAACATGAAATTTAGGAAGTAATTCAACTGTGCCAGATGTTTTATACAAGTCTGGTTTAAAGAGAACAGGGCTTTCAAGTTTCTTGTATGTGGGTTGGTTTGTGGCACTTTTCCTTGTGGAGCTGAACTTCCCTTGACCTCTAATCATTTCTAAGGTTAGGAAGGCTAAAGAAAGGTTATTTCTTCTGGCTTCTTGTAAGAAATGACTGCTTTCCTGAACCCCAGAACTCCTCTCCCTAAAGGTATAATTACAAGCTGATGCTGGAAGATGAGAGGAGTTGTCTTGGGATGAGATCTTGGTCAGATCTGTATGTCTAATTGATGGAAATGCTGATACTTTTGCAAAAGGTAACGCAGAGTCATTCATTTGCATGAGGCCATGATTTCTCATAGAACAATCTGATAGGAGGGACTCAGTGATGGCTCTTTTTTCTTTCTCATTGTACTCTATCTGTGTGAGGGTGCCCTGGGTCAAATAGGTCATATTTTTGGACCACTGGGTTGAGGTGTCATTCAAAGTTACCCTCCTTTCAAACTTTATTTCTTCTAGTGAGAGTTTGGGTTGTTTCAAAGCCCGTTTACCACGATGAGTAATAAGATGCTGACCTGGATTAGGAGACATCCTTGTAGGGCTTGGAAACCTCTCTACCATTTGATTTGTTTGATTTTCCAGACCTTCCAAGTTTGCTTCTTCCCTTATTTTTGAGAAATTGGCCATGTGACTCCCTTCTGTATGTGCAGAGTCATTTAATGACCTGGTGTCTTGAAGTGCTGGAGTGTGTGGCTGCTCATGTGAACCTTCTACATTTTGCTTTGTGCTTAGCGAGAAAAGGTTTTTCAGGAAATTCTTAGTGCCAATCACTGTATATACCTGAGGCAAAGCCACATTCTCTTGGGTTAATTTTTCCTTTCTTTCTATCTTTTCCTGAGATTTCTTTTCTTGATTGTATGTATCATTTTCTTGGACATTAGCCAAGTTAGTAAAAAATATGCTCTTATTCTTTGGAAAAATCATCTCTTTGAGTCCAGTGTCCTTTGTAAATTCATCCTCTCCTATTACCACCTTCTCCTCTGACAAAAAATTCTGATCTTTCACAGATTCTTCTGATCCTAAAGATGTTAACTGCTTTGGACTGGGCCTTTTCTCAGAGCTTAGGGAGTTCTTGCCATGGGTCTCTTTTATCCAATTTGCTGAATCTGGCAAGAACGGTATCTTGAAGAATGATAGATCTGGATTTTCCATACCTAGTGGCATAGGGCCCTCTTGTTTTTGGTGGGCCATTTCCACATTTTTTGATGAAGTAGTTTTGTTTGACACATGATTTAGCCCCAAAGCTGTAATATTTCTCTCCATAAATGTTTCATTATGAACCAAAGAAATCACTTTTTGAAACTCAGTATTACTTTCTAATATAGTATCTTGCCAGACTGATGTACTGTTCTCAATAAATAGTGTTGAGACATCAACATGAGTCTTTCCATTAGTTGTTGAGTTAATTGATGTCTTGTTCATCTTTACCAAAGAGATATTAACTTTGAATAAAGCATTATCTTTGACTAATGAAGCAGGTCCACGAACTCTTTCTTCTTTAAATAACCTATTACTCTCCATTGATAATACATTTTCCCCCAGTGAACTTTCTTGACTATTCATTAAAGCTGCTTCTAACAACCTGGAATCATTATCTCCTTCACTCAAGCCCAAAGGTACATTGGACTGAATAAGGTGAGATGAATTTACAATGGTGCCTAAATGACTATCAAAGTGAACTGACATATTTGGAGGTTCTAAGGAACTTGTCTTTTCAGTACCTGCTGCCAACTTCTCTGATGAAATTGTTGGTGAAGTCATTAGACTGTCTGATGAACTAGAAATTTTTAAATCAAGTTTATTCACCTCTACTGTTGCAGGTGTCTCCAAATTCGCATTTAATCTTAACTGCAGTTCTGGCTTAGGAGTAAATACTTGGTCCCCACTGTGATGGAGCTCTGGTCTCAGACTTGCCACTTCAGATGGGCCCTTGTTTCCTTCTGTTGCTCCAAGTAAATGATCCTCAGCTTCATGTGTGGCTTCCTGGAGATCAGGTAAGAATAAATGTGGAGAAGGGTTCTGTCCCAACAGCATCAACAGATCACTAGAGGAGACACTTTGTGCTTTAAGCAGCTGCGTTCTTTCTGCAGACTGAGGCTCCATCTTCCCTATGTCATTTTCTGGGCTTGTGGTGGCTTTGAATTGCTTCTGCTTAGTGTTAGGGTGCCTTGAATTCTGGGAGAAGCTTCTGGGTCCAATGATGTTGTTTTCATTCAGCAAGGAAGTTGGAATATCTTCATATGTGTCCTCATAATAATCACCAATGTTCCCATTACAACTAGAAACCTTCAGTAAGGCTGTCATGCCTCTGTTCCGAAAGTCTGAATTGTGGCACCCCAGAACCCATAGACCTGGAGATGAGGAAGAATAAGACTCTGGTTATTTACAACCCAGGTCCCAAGCAAGTTATGTATTAGTTGTTCTCTTCTATTTCCAGATAATGAAAAAATACTAGTCAGTACCATTGTATTACAGGTCATCAGGTTAAATCCCTGGCACATAAACAGTCCAACAATGGTAGTGAAAGTGGTTTTTACACTGCTGCTATTGTGGTATATCTGTCTATAATCACAAGAAAGGTCTGTGATTAAAAGTTAATAGATATCAGGAAAAAAATGGAGAAATGTAATTGACACACACAATAGTGGAGAGTCTTTTAAAGATTTTATTTATTTATTTGACAGAAAGAGGCAGTGAGAGAGGGAACACAGGCAGGGGGAGTGGGAGAGAGAGAAGCAGGCTTCCTGATGAGCAGGGAGCCTGATGCAGGGCTCAATCCCAGGACCCTGAGACCATGACCTGAGCCAAAGGCAGACGTGTAACTGACCGAGCTACCCACGGGCTCCCAATAGTGGAGAGTCTTAATAGTCACACAGAAATCTTTTTTAAAAGACTTTTTTTTTATTTTAGAGAGGGAGAGAGAGAGAAAGAGGTCATGTGAACTGGAGGCAGAAGCAGAGGAGGAGGGAGAGGGAAGGGGAAGGGGAAGGAATCTCAAGGAGACTTGGTGCGGAATGCAGGGCCCGACATGGGGCTCGATCATACACCCTGAGATCATGACCTGAGCTGATACCAAGAGTAGGATGCTTAACTGACTGAGCCAGCAGGCGCCCCCCACACAGAACTCTTTGATGATGATAATGACTTAATTCATGAAACTTCATGCAGCTTAGCTATTATTGCTATATAACATAATGGCACAGGTTCTCAGAGTTGGATTGCTTGGGTTCAAATTCTAGCTCTACCATTTACCAGCTGTGTGACTTTGAGCAAGTCAACTAAGCTCTCTGAGCTCCAGTTTTCTAATTTATAAATGAGGCTAATAGTATCTATGCTATCATATAAAGTATTCAAATCATATTACACATGAGTAGCTTCCACTGTCATCAATTTCAGGATAAGTAAGCACCAGGGAGTAGGACTTAGGGTTAGGAAATACATAATATAAAATTACACTACAAGGCTAGCAATATTAATTTCTACTATGAACAGGATTATTCAAGTGAAGGAATTGCATAGTGGTACAGTAGATGCATAAACATAAGTAAAAAAAATACACCCATCAGGTACCTTCACAGTCTCATCATCTTGCATGACATTTGCAAGCAAAATCTTAACCAAATCCAGCTTTACCTCTAAGGGACCCCCCCCCCCCCGAGTATATTTCCCCTGTAAAATAATGGGATGCCCATGGAAAAGGTTTTTCTGGTCAAATGCATGTTGGAATATTGCACTCTATGTGCTGCCAGATAACCAATCGAGTGGGAAATGAAAATACATTTTCTATCATCAAAGATTTAGAAAATCTACCTCTAAAGCAAACACTGTCAGGAAGTGATGAGGGTATGTTTTCTACCAGAACAAAGGAGTATACTGTATATTAAAAAAACAGGATGACATGGGGTCCAGGAAATGGGCACCTTTCCTGAACAAGGATGAAGAAAAGTCCCAAGTTAATAATTGATACTCAGTCAATTCTAGAAAGAACCAGCCCAGACAGAAGGAGGATGCATGGGTCTAGGAGGTCAGATTCTAAGTAAAATAAATACATTGTATGATAAAACTCTTGGGAACAAAAAGAGAGTAACTAAAGGGAAAACATAATAAGAACAGTAAAACAATTAGAAGTTTCTATAAAACAAGTCATAAAAATAAGAAATGAAATCTTATTTGATTCCATAGTGAATGTAAGCTTGTGGATTGGGAGCCTAATTTCATGACATTTAAAGGATATTTTTGATGGTGTAAAATAATGTTAGGTCACAGGACACAACAATACAAATTCAAGGGGCTACATGTACCCTGATGTTCACAGCAGTACTATCAACAGTAGCTAAACGATAGACAGAGCCCACATGTCCACTGACTGACAAATGGATAAAGAAGATTGGGTGTATATATAATGCAGTATTACTCAGTCATCAAAAAGAATGAAATCTTGGGGCGCCTGGGTGGCTCAGTGGGTTAAGCCGCTGCCTTCGGCTCAGGTCATGATCTCAGGGTCCTGGGATCGAGCCCCGCATTGGGCTCTGTGCTCAGCAGGGAGCCTGCTTCCTCCTCTCTCTCTACCTGCCTCTCTGCCTGCTTGTGATCTCTCTCTGTCAAATAAATAAATAAAATCTTTTAAAAAAAAAAAAGAATGAAATCTTGCCATTCACAATGATGTGGATGGAGCTACAGTGCATTATGGATAATTTCAAAAAATTCATTATTGAGTTCATTTCCTCTGGCTACACACTCAGACACGGGATTGCTGGATCATTCTATTTTTAATTTGTGAGGAACCTCATATTGTTTTCCAGAGTGGCTGCACTAGTCTACATTTCATCAATAATGCATCAGTGTTCCCTGTTCTCTACATCTTCACCAGCATTTGTTATCTCTTGTCTTTTTTAAAAATTTTTTATTTCTTTTCAGCATAACAGTATTCATTGTTTTTGCACCACACCCAGTGCTCCATGCAATCCATGCCCTCTCTAATACCCACCACCTGGTTCCCCCAATCTCCCAACCCCTGCCCCTTCAAAACCCTCAGATTGTTTTTCAGAGTCCATAGTCTTTCATGGTTCACCTCCCCTTCCAATTTCCCTCAACTCCCTTCTCCTCTCCATCTCCCCTTGTCCTCCATGCTGTTTGTTATGCTCCACAAATAAGTGAAACCATATGATAATTGACTCTCTCTGCTTGACTTATTTAACTCAGCATAATCCCTTCCAGTCTTGTCTTTTTTTAATAGGAATCATAACAGATGTGAGGCGGTATCTCATTTTGGTTTTGATTTAGATTTACATTTTTTTATAACAAGTGATGTTGAACACCTTTTCATATACCTATTGGCTATCTGTATGTCTTCTTGGGGAAAATTTAATGGTCCTTAGGTTCACAGATCCTTTTTCTGACTTATTTCACTTTCTTTTGTTTGATTAAGTCAGAGGAAGAAAAATACCATATGATTTCACTCATTGTATTTTTTAGCTCCAGAATTTCTTAAATGATTTCTCTTTTTTGAGCTTATTTTGTTAATGTACTATTTTCCTAGTTTTATTGAATCGCCTGTTTGTGTTCTCTTGTATCTTGCTGAGCTTCCTTAAAAGAATAAGTCTGAGTTCCTTCACAGGCAATTTGTAGATTTCCATGTCTTTGGGGTCAGTCGTTGAAAAGTTACTGTGTTCCTCTGGTCGCATCAGGCTCTCTTGTGGCCCTGCACTGATGTCTGCACATCTGAGGGAGCAATTACCTCCTCCAGTCTGTACGGACCGACTTGATTGGGAATGACTTTCTTTTTTTTTTTTAAGATTTTATTTATTTATTTGACAGACAGAGATCACTAGTAGGCAGAGAGGCAGGCAGAGAGAGAGAGAGGAGGAAGCAGGCTCCCTGCCGAGCAGAGAGCCCGATGCGGGGCTCGATCCCAGGACCTGGGATCATGACCCGAGCTGAAGGCAGAGGTTTTAACCCACTGAGCCACCCAGGCACCCCTGGGAATGACTTTCACCTGTGGGTGGCTCGGAGTGTGCTATCTGGGGTTCAGCAGCTCCAGGTCCAGGGAGGGCACAGCAGCATCATTTCTATGCAGCTCTGTCAGCTGAGGTCAGTGTTGGTGAAAAATGGAGGGAGGGCCTCCATTGGTGGCCAGAGCTGTGTCTGGTAGCAGTGGTTGTTAGAGCGGTTGGACTCCCAGGTGATAGAGGCTGCTGGGGTCGTCTTGTTGTCCTTTTCACCCGTCCTGGAGCCGGGAACATCCTGGAGCCGGGTCTAGCATGTGAGTGTTCTGGGGCAGAGGGGTGCAGGCAGTAGCAGCAGTGCTGGGTTTCAGGGCGCAGACATGCAGAGTGGCAACAGTGTCTGTTGTGCTAGTGGCAGTGGCCAAAGCTCAGGCAGGCACAGATCATCCATCCCTAGGCCCTGGTGGGTGAGGTGACCTGGCGGCTTGGTGCTTGGGCCCCAGGGATGATGGGGGACTGTAGGGGTGCCTCAGGTCCTGAGAAGCAGGGCGACATTAGCCACTCAAGCCCTGAGGCTGGCGGATGCTATATTCTCAATTAGATAATAGTAATAGTTGTAAAACACGGTGAATGTGCTGCAAGCCACTGAATTGTGTACTTTTAAATGGCAAAAATGGTGAATTTTACCCCCAAAAAATAAACAAAAGGGATCAGACTTGACCACATTGAACACAAGAGATCTTCTCTAGGGGCTGCAGCTTCAGCTTTGTAATTAGTGATGCTCTATTAAAATTTTTTCCTCAAGACACATAAAGCAGAGTTTTAATTTGTCTTTAGAATTTAAGTGATCACCAAAATAATCTAGAAGCTTTTCAAAATATTGATATTTAAAATATTTTTCCCCGTTTATACACTCATACACATACAGACATTTTCTTTGATCTAGATTTTGACAATTACAACATACTATACATACTGCTTCATAATCTTTCATAATCTTTTTGTACTTGGTTCATTCATTAATGGGAAAAATATTTATTAAGCACTTACTATAGGCCAGGAACTAGAAACTTCAGAGATATGGTGATGAATAAGATAAATGAGGTCTCTGTTCTCAGAGAGTTTGCAAATCAGATATAAAATAGATAACAAAGACATACACATAAATATAGAAGCTACTTTCAGAGATGTTTTTGGAGTTCTGTCAGGTTCTTCTTTACTCACTTCCCACAAAAGTACACTACTTGAAGTAAAATAACTTTCTGGGTATATGTTTGTATATGAGATTGGCTTTTATTGTCCAGAAACTCTCCCATGAGAGTTTATCTCCAGAAAAGCCTTTTGTGTAAAAGAGTGACTATAACGTGCGGTAGTTTCATGTGCTATCCTCTGCAGATGATGGAGGTGGGAGCAACCGGGGCGTGGAGTGGGCTGGCACTTGTTGATAAATGGTAGTAAGGAAGCAACAATCTGTGCTGGATTTAGGCCAGGCCACTGTTCCTCCTGATCACAGGGCTGGTGCTTTCACAAGCCTTGCACTGCTTATGGAGGGAGAGGGAAGATGAGAAACTGCCAGTCACATTTGTCCTGAAGGGTTCCCAGCAGTGTGAGGGTATGTGTACGAAGAGAGGTGGCACTGCACTCCCAAAGGCTTCTAGGTGGTATTTATTCAATGTTCACAAAGCACATACTTAGCTCTACATGTTGACTGTGTCATGATCTCAGGGTCCTGGGATGGAGCCCCACATTGGGCTCTCTGCTCAGCGGGGAGCCTGCTAACCCCCTGACCCCTGCCTGCCTCTCTGCCTGCTTGTGATCTCTGTCTGTCAAATAAATAAGTTAAAAAATCTTTAAAAAAAGTATACTCACCACTATAGGTTAATAAACACACTTATAATTTAGGCCAATGGTAAGTAAAGGGACTTTTTAGAGGAAAGACTTTAAAGTTAAATACCTGACAAAGTATTATCATTAAAATGCTTTGCAATACTAAGATCACTTGGACCATTCAGTATTTGCACACATATGAGCATATGCATGGCTAGTGAAGTGATCATAGCTGTTAGTAAAAGAATAATATCAATAACTCCTGGTTTCAGCTCAGGCCCTGATCTCAGGGTCCTGGGACCAAGCCCCACGTTGGGCTCTGTGCTCAGTGCAGAATCTGCTTAGGACTCCTTCTCCCTCTCTGTCTGCTCTTCCCCGCTGTTAGCTCTCTGTCTCTCAAATAAATATATAAAAACTTTAAAAAGAATAATATAAATAACTAACCTGGGTTTTCCATTGACATGAAGACAGTTTCTCCTGAGAATGGGAATAGGGTAAGTGTGTCTTCATAGACCATTTTGTGTTTGAAGGTATATCCAGAGAAGAAGACAGACAGGAAGTCAGTCTGTGCTCCAACACTTAGAATGTACCAGTATGCCACCTCATGCAAACAAACTGACAGCTGCAAATTGTCAAAAACATAGCCATTGATGCCTGCAGAAGAAACGGGGGACAAGAGGTTTTAGCAGTATCCAGATTTACTACTCGAGGCTGTCATGAGAGGATTAGAAATAATTACATGTTATGCCTATTACCTGATTCCCAAGAAGACATAGCATTATGCTTTCAAAAAAAAAGTAGATTATTAATACTTGATCAGGTCCCAAACCAAAGTGAGAGGAATCATAGACCCTGACTCTTCATGAACTAGAGGGAAGAAATGCTACAAAACATGGCATTGATTGATTTATACAACTGGAATGTCGGCTGCCAATTAGATAAATGTTAAATTTTCTCAATTTCATAACTCCACTTTGGTTTTGTAAGGGAATATCTGTATTCATAAGAAATGCACAATGAAGTACTAAGAGATAAAAGCACAACCTGTTCTCAATTAGAAAATAAGTAATAAAAGTAAGTATATAGAGAAAAGAGAATGATAAAACAAATACAGAAAAATATTAAAAATTAGTGGATCTGGGTAAAGGGTAAAGGGAGCTCACTATCCTATTCTTGCAGAACTTCTGAAAGTTTGAAGCTATTTCTAAATAAAAAGGTAAACAAAAATAACTTTGACTTCACTCTATAAAGGGAATTGTTTCTGAAAGCCTCTACCCTACATCTATCCATTCATCTATTCAATAAACATTTGTCTATTTTGTAGGGCGGTGGTCCACAAATCAAGTAAGCAATGCTCGAACTCTAGCTTAGTACAACTAACTGAGAATCAAATTTTCTTGCCTTACAAATCACTACAAGATATTATAAATCTATTGTAATTAAATCTGTGGTAATATGCGGGTATAGATGAGTATACCAATCAGAATATAGAATCCAGAAAGAGATGCAGATATAAATGGGAATTTAATATATGATGGTAAAGGCAGCATTTCAAACAGGCAGCAAAAGAGAATGAGCTACTGGTAAATGCTAATGGAAAAGATGATTATTCATATGGAACCACAAAAGACCTCTAACAGCCAAAGCATCTGGAGAAAGAAAAAAGCTGTAGTAATCACAGACATGGCATGAAAACAGACACATATACTAACGGAACAGAATCCAGAGCCTGGAAATAAATCCTTAAATACATGGTCAAGTAATATTTGACGATGTAGTCAAGAATGCTCAGTGGGGTAGGGCCTGTGTGGCTCAGTGGGTTAAGCATCTGCCTTTGGCTCAGGTCATGATCCCAGGGGCCTGCTCAGTGGGGATTTTGTTTCTCCCTCTCTTGCCCCCACCTCATGCTCTCTGTCTCTCAAATAAATAAATAAATAAATTCTTTAAAAATGTTTAGAATAAGTTTTGTATCAACATGGACGGGACTGGAGCAGATTATGCTGAGTGAAATAAGTCAAGCAGAGAGAGTCAATTATCATATGGTTTCGCTTATTTGTGGAGCATAACAAATAGCATGGAGGACAAGGGGAGATGGAGAGGAGAAGGGAGTTGGGGGAAATCGGAGCAGGAGATGAACCATGAGAAACTGTGGACTCTGAAAAACAATCTGAGGGTTTTGAAGGGGCAGGGGGTGTGAGGGTGGGAGAGCCTGGTGGTGGGTATTACGGAGGGCACATATTGCATGGAGCACTGGGTGTGGTGCATAAACAATGAATTCTGTTACACTGAAAAGAAATTAAATAGAAAGAAAGAAAGAAAGAAAGAAGGAAGGAAAGAAAGAAAGAAAGAAAATAAAAGAATACTCAGTGAGGAAAGGGTAGTGTCTTCAATAAATGGAGTTGGGAAAACTGGATAACCACATGAAGAAGAATGAAACTGAACCCTTACATTACACCACAAACAAAATTAACTTGAAATGGATTAAAGACTTAAACATAAGACCTGAAACTGTAAAACTCCTAGAAAACATAGGGAAAAAGCTCCCTGACATTGGTTCTGGCAATGATGTTTTTGAATATGACACCAAAAGCACAAGCAACAAAGGAAAAATTAATAAGTGGGGTCATAGCAAACTAATAAGCTTCTGCACAGGAAAAAGAAACAATCAACAGAATGCAAAGGAGCCTAAGGAATAGGAGAAAATACCTGCATCATTTATCCGATAAGGGGTTAATATCCAAAATATATAAAGAACTCTTACAACTCAACAACAACAGATCTGGTTTTGAAAAAGGGCAGAGGAACTGAATAGAATTTTTCCAAAGAAAACATATAATTGCTCAAGAGGTACATGAAAAGGTTAGGGTTAGGGAAATAAATCAGATAAAGAAAATCAAATACTGTAGGATTCCACTTATATGTGGGATCTAAAAAAGCGAACTCAGAGAACCAGGGAGTATAATGGGTGGTTACCAGGGGCGGGGGATGGGAGAAATGGGTAGATGTTGGTTAAAGGATACAAACTTCTAGTGAGAAGATGAATAAATTCTTAGGATCTAATGTACAGCATGGTGACTATGGTTAATAATATCATATTACATAGTTGAAAGTTGCTAAGAGAGTAGATCTGAAATTTATCACTAGAAAAAAGAGATGGTAATGATGTGACATAGTGAAAGTGTCTGCTAACACTATGGTGGTAATCATTTTGCAAAATATGTGTATCAAATCAACAACTTAAACCTACACAATGTTATGTGTTGACTCTATTTCCATAATTCTGGACTATACAAAACCAATAACAACAACAGACTTGGTGTGAATGGCAATATTTCAAGAACAATCATCTTCAAAATGAAATAGAAAAGTTCAGAAAAAATAGGAAACACAAAATAAAATCGGACCATACATGCCAGGCAGATGGGCTAAATGCCCCTCTTGAGAGAGAGATGGTCAAATGGATTTGAAAAAACAGAAAATCTCCTCTTCTCTAGACTCATACTGCCATACTCTTTCTTGATATAATTTACATAATTTTGTTCTTTTAAAAAAAAAGATTTTATTTATTTATTCATGTGAGACAGAGAAAGAGATGGTGGGGGGTAAGGGGGAGGCAGAGGGAGAAGCAGGCTCCCCAAGGAGCAGGGAACCTGATGTGACCTGAGCCGAAGGCAGACGGTTAGCCATCTGAACCACCCAGGTGCCCCATAATTTTGTTCTAGATCAAAGTGGGAGTAAAGTGCTACAGATATGATTAGAAATACTGAGGAAAGCCCTAATCCAGAGTAATCAGAACATACCACTCTGTCTTGAAACCATATCACGCTCTACAGAGACATATATACGTACCTATGGTTTCCCTTTATGGTCATTGTTTATTTTACAAAAATGAGATCATATTACATACACTTTTTCTGCACCTGCAATACATTATTCAACAATACTTCACAGAAATTGCTTTAAGTAGCTGCTCTAATTAATTCTTTTTTAAAGAGGAATTTATTTATTTATTTATTTGACACAGAGAGAGAGAGCGTGCACGCACAAGCAGGGGAACAGCAGAGGGAGAGGGAGAGGCAGGTAAGAATCTTGGATCAAAAGTATATATAGGTTTGGTGGGGCACCTGGGTGGCTCAGTTGGTTAAGCCACTACCTTTGGCTGAGGTCATGATCCCAGTGTCCTGGGATCGAGTCCCACATCAGGGTCCTTGCTCAGTTGAGAGCCTGCTTCTCTCGCTGCCTCTGCCTGCCACTCTGCCTACTTAATGTCTACAGTTGGGAGTCTGCTTCTCCCTCTGACCTTCTCCCCTCTCGGGCTCTTTCTCACACTCTCTCTCTCAAATAAATAAAATCTTTTTAAAAAAGTATATGTATTTAATTCTAAAAATTTACATAGCAGGGGTACCTGGCTGGCTTAGTTGGAGAAGCATTTGACTTGATCTCAGGGCTGTGAGTTCAAGCCCCATGTTGGGTATAGACATTACTTTAAAAAATAAAAATAGAATTTTAAGAAGTAAAATTGATTCTTATTTGGTGCACAGTTTTATGAGTTTTAGCACATATGTCAATGTGTGTAACCACAAGCACAGTCAGGATACAGAACATCTCATTCAATATAGAAAACTCCTGTGATAACCAGTGTTCTAATCTCCATGCCTACACAGTTGCCTTCCCCAGAATGCCTTGTAAATGAAATAATACAGTATGTCACCTTTTGAGACTGGAAGCTAAAGGTAAAGGTGGGAAAGGATAGGTTTCCTTTTTTCCTTTCTCCCTCATCGTGTTTTCCCCAGGGGATAAAAATGGCATGGACCTCAAAACTTACCCAAATAAAACCTCCCAAAACCGAGTTTCCAAAAAGTTATAGTTTCTTAATTCCTCATAGAAAGGGGGAGGGTGGGGCGCCTGAGTGGCTCAGTCAGTTAAGCATCTGCCTTCGGTTCAGGTCATGATCTCCAGGTCCTGGGGTCAGACTTGCTGCTCAGTAGGGAGTCAGCTTCTCTCTCTCTCTCTCTACCCCCTGCCCTTCGCCATTGCTCATTCGCTCACTCCCTCTCAAATAAATAAACAAAATCTTGAAAGAGAAAGGGGGGAAGGAACTTGTGGGAAGGAAGTCCCTGGTTTGGGGGGAGACTCCCCTAGTTTGGTGGGACACACCCCCCGACATCAAATGGCTGGCCCAAATGGAAGAAGCTTAGGGCTAGAGCATTCAAAACCTCCTCACACCCAATTTTATCGAAACAAAAAAATTTTCTCCCCCACCCCACAAAACACAAACACATGCATACATATATGTATTTGTCCTTTTTTACAAAGCAAACAAAAATTCGAAGGCATTAAACTTTAAAGTGAATCTAGAACAAGGGAATGTGAAGTTCCCTCCTGCTCCCCTCTTACTGTGGGGTTAATTGGTACAAGTCCAGCAGAGGAACCTGCCCCAAGGGGATGGCAGAGGAGAAGGACACAAAGGAGCAAAGGATGGGGATGTCCCCCAAGCCAAGCAGCAGATGTGGGCACGGTGCCAGTGAGGACACGTTACTTGGAAATTTCCAGTTGGGATGGGAAGTGGGTAAGAGACATTCATGTAGTCTTCAGCCAATTTCAAGTCAAGTCAGGACAAGGAAAACAGGGGAACGAATGCAGTGTGTGGAAAG